ATATTTGCACAATTAAGCTATCAAAAGACGAACACTAAATATTTACAATAAAACTCTCTAAAAATACAAGAGAAAATAAAATAATAAAGATTTGAAGCTCTTTTCTCTTGATCTTTAATTTTGGATGCTCATCTCTTACTTCTTGAAGTGTTCTTGAAGTGTATTTATAAGAATAAATGAGTTTGAAGCGGTTTATAGCCGTTGAGGAAGTTTGGAGGTGAATTTTCGAGCAATTTTAGGCTCATGCACTTAGTTATATTGATACTCAAGTATGGGTAACAATACTCCTTCAAAATATCCGTTACAAGCTCAAATTTAACTTTTTTACAGCCCGATATCGATATTCAATAGTAGAATAGTGTCAAATAGTAACATAATAGTGTTTTCATATTTTAAAAGCTTTAAACCTTTTTAAATACTTTAAAACATTTTAATCAACTCAAAAATATTTGATAAAAATAAAATAACTAATATAACATATTTTTGATGTTTTAAAAACTTTGAAACATATTTTTTAAGTTTGTTGGATTTTGAATTATTTTTGAAATACTTGAGCAAATTCAATTAAGTTCAAATTCATTTTGCATTTTTTGTTATATCAAAATATATGTTCAACAGCGTAACACTCAACAATCGCATAATACAATAACATCGCCATGACACACCATAAGTGAGACCCCTTAAAAATTGATCCGACAAGAACTGATTGATCTCCTTATCAACATGCGGATGTCAAGAAAACTGTAAATATTAAATATCAAAGTTAGTATATATAAAGTTAAAAAATTCAAAAAAATAATAAAAATATCGTATATCATATAACATATCGATCGACAATGTCGATCCTCATCCATATGTCTTGTGCAGTGGCACTCGCCAACTTCGTCTCAGATATTTTATGACGTTGTCTAAAATATTTAAAAATAAAAATATTATAAATTAATTAATTAATGAAATTAAAGAAAAGGTTAAACGAACGAAGTTAAACAATTGCCTTGCAACCAGCGGAAACTCAACCGGGGTTGATGTAATTGGCGTCAAAAATAGAAATCGGTATCAAGTCCATGACTGTAGCAATATCTGACAACCTGATACATCGGCTTTTTGACCTGGCTGGACAATTGCAGCCTTGCAAAGCTCCCGGTACACAAAGGCTAGAATCGTCGAGCCTCAACTGGTATTACGACACACAACGAAGTCTTGTAAATATTGCAGACACTGAGTGCACGCCAAATTATCGGATTTATCTGGTAATAATACCCCTCCGATCACTTTGAGAGGAAATGCTCGGGACACGAAAATAACCTCCACCTCAGTAGACTCTGTCGTCACTTGGAATTAAGATTCTAACCATGTTATCTGTACCCGATAGCCCTTGTTAACGTCAGATGGTGACCATTTTCCCAAAACTTCGTACACTAACGTCGCGTGGTCGTAAATGTTCTGGCTCACCACAGGGGTTCCATTCACATGAACATCAAGTTGATAAGTGACATATTCCAAAGTAATCAACGCTTCACCACTCGAAAATTGGAACATGTGCATCTTGGGCCTCCAACGTTCGAATAGAGCCTCAATCAACGTTGGGTACAACTTGAAGCCACATACAAATATGACATAAAATAGACCAAATTGTTGCAGATATATCAACATATGCTGCTGCGACTCTCTATATGTCATCCCCGCTTACAAATATTCCATTCGTCATCTGACCGACCTTGGATCGACGAAACATGGGTGTTATCCACATGCAACATATATTCTCGGGTTGCCATTTTTTGAGATTTTCATACATGATTTTTTTTTTATTTTTTTGAATTCAGAGTTTGGTGAAAAACCAAAATCCCAAACCTTATTTATAGCCTTACACTCAACGACTATAAACAGTTAGAAATTTCAAATTTCTTGTCGAACTCGTTAGCTTGAGATGACAAGTTCAAAGTGACGGTTGTTGACCGTGGCCCCGTCTACCCGTTGACCAACGACTACAAAACGGCTAGCTTTTTTTTGAATTTGAAGGAACTTGTCACTTTAAGGTGATGAATTTCGTCTATTTTTTTAATTTTTAATTTTTATTTTGTAATTTTAAAAAAATAATTTTTAAATGGACTCATCACCTCTGCGTGACGAGTCATATTAATGACAATAAAATAATAGCCTACATCGGACCCATCACTTAGAGACCATTTAAAAATAATATTCGGGATGACGAATTTCATGTGTACCGTAACAATTGTCATATTTTCTAAAATAAAAGCTGGGGAGGTTCAATACCATAAATAATTGACGTGCTAGAGGTATTGGGAAAAAAAACCTATCTATAGCACCAAAAGGTTTGGAGAAAAAGTGTTAATGTAACCATGGCTAATTAGGCCTGTAAATGAACTGAATGTTCACCGAATCGTTCATGAACCGTGCGGCGGGAAATTCGTTTATGTGCGTTTATTTAATAAATGAACGAACATGAACAAGATTTTTTGTTCGTTTAATTAAATGAACGAACATGAACATAGGTCTCGTTCGTTCATTTACGTTCGTGAACGTTCGGTTATGTTCGTTCGGTTATGTTCGTTTATGTTCGTTCGATTATGTTCGTTTATGTTCATTTATTTATGTTTAACCCAACCTTCTTAAATCAATTTTGGTGACCAATTTGTAAGTATCTTAAAAATATTAATTAATATGATATTCTGATGACCAACTCCATAATTAATCCAATTTTATTTGGAGATTAAATCCAATATATTAACCTGTGAGGCACCTATATTCATTTCCCCCTTTTTTTCCCAAACCCTAGTGTTCACTAGAGAGTGGAGACGATCGCTGAAAGCTTCAAAACAAGTTATATTATAGTGCAATATGAAGTTTTACATGTTTGTTTTCATCTCTTTCTCTGTTTTATTTAGCTTAATAGTTGATATGTAAAGTTATTGCAGGTATCTTCACATCTAAAACTCAAGAAAACATCATACTTCTTTCTAGAAATAGATGGGAATATAAAGGTAACAATCGGAAGTATACGAGCATCAGTAAATAGAAAAATATATAGAATTTGCCAGAAAACAAAACAAAGGTTTCTATGCAATTTCTGAAAAAGAGTGTAATAGGAGAAAATGATTGTTCATATGTAATCATGGACCACTAAGATAAATGTTATAGCGTTAAATTAAAGTTGTGTGAATCATTTAATATCTTTAAAAGATCGATCGAAATATTTGATATCTTCAAACATTTCATCACTGCTAATAAACTCTTACGCTATTTATCACTGTAGATTTGGTTGATTTGCATTGTCGACTATTTTTCATGAAATAACAATGGAAGGTAGGGTCTCCAACGTTTATGTTCGTTTATGTTCGTGTTCATTTATGTTCGTGTTCGTTTATGTTCGTGTTCGTTTATGTTCGTTTATTTATTAAATGAACGAACATGAACAAATTATATTCCTTAATAAACGAACATGAACAAAAAAAATTTTGTTCGTTTATGTTCGTGTTTGTTTATGTTCGTCTATTTATTAAATGAACGAACATGAACATACCTCCGTTCGTGTGCGTTCGGTTCGTTTACAGGCCTATGGCTAATGGCTAAATATGGCCTCACCTGCTACTCTACAACACTATTATCCCAAGTTTACAAGTACTGTTGATAAAATTGAATTTCCCGTCATAATATAAAGATTATTTCTAAATTAACGTTTAAATTTAATGATGTTACATCACATCTTGAAAAGATTGATATAAAGCTCATATAAAAAATAGAGTTTATAAGTAGTTGTGTTGCACATCTTATCATTAATGTCTTGAAAGAGGATAATAATCTCATTAGTATCAAAGCGGCCCCTTGACTGTTTGATTTCATGTCGAACATTCCGGTGTATGGGATAGACAGGCTGAACAACTGTAAAAAATGATTCATGAGATTGAGAGTGAGAGAATATCACGTCTCGAAGAAGTGGATGACATAAATCTATATTAAAAAGATAAAGAAAGCTTTACGAGTTTGTAAGCAGTAACAATGCATACCCTATTAGACATTCTTTTGGAAAAAAAGACCATGCTCTCGTTTAATGCAAAGTAGCCAACGGCCGGTGTGAAAATGACATACTGGTAAAGGCTTCTTTGAGGGAGGAATGACTGGCTTTTACTGAACTCCAAAGGTTCTCATTTCAATTAGGTGCAAGGAAGATACGTGAATCATTTTCTTTTCCCAAAATTCTTACAGTTGGAACTCACAAGCCGGACAACGAGCTGCAGCAAAAGGTAACGTAGGTGCATCCAAGCCGTCGCTTTAACTTTTGGATTCGGATTCGAAATTCCTCACAAAGTTAGTTTGGGACCTTTTATTTGGATATGCCTGGAACGAGAGAGGAATCCACAGGGAGGGAAGGTTTTCACTAGTAATTTTGCAATAATCTTGTACCCAATATTTGTGAGATCCATCACAATGGTATCCGTGCACGAGGAATGGCAAGAAAAAACAATGACTTGAAACCGTTACAAAATGTAACGCTTCCAACCTCTGATATACAAATTCATCTATTTTTATTTCTACTTGAATATGATTTTACCTCGAACAAAATATTGACTGGTTTAACTACTTGTTTAGCTACAACTTTTGGATATATTTGGATTGCACAAGTGAAAAATGGAACCAATAAAATTCAGGTTAACTACTTGTTTAGCTACAACCTCTGAGCCCTTTAAAGATATCTTCAGGTAAGACAACCAGTGCGTGCTGATGCCCTTGCCAAACTAGGAAGATATTTTCAAGCCCAAGTTTCCTTGGGTTAATTTTAATGATTTAAGATGCATCTGTCATTCCCCACTTGGGATTTCTGAACCATTCGAAATTATCAGGTGGAAGTTGTTACACAGTTTAAAGATACCCGGAAGAGCTACAACAATGGAATTAACAAGTAATGCATATGAATCACGCTAATTATAGGCATACAAAACGTGTTAATGGAATTGATAAATTGAAACCATAGCTCATAGAAATGATAGAAAGGTGATTCTCTTCATCCTTCTGTAAATTTGTTCTCATTTACTTTACCTACTCTAAAACTTAACATGGAATTCCCTAGTTAAACATGTTCTTTTGAACCTCTTTTCTTCTCTTTCATCGATCATTTTGATTAAAAAAGAAGAAAAGAACTCCAAAGGCATGGATTTATGAAAGATACCTTTTGTACTTGAATCAAATTTAAATTATGTCCTTAGACTTCTGGATGGGGAGCACTTGACTGAATCCTTCCCAGATTGTACGAGTATATCATGATTTATTGATGCCAGCTGTGACAACTTCTGCAATAGAAATATTAAACTTGAAAAATTGACTTGAGCAATACAGATTACTAGAAATGTACGTATGAATGCATATGTTTCAAGAAGACCAAGTGCCATACCTTAAAAGAGAAACTTATTAGAGAGAGATTAAGAGGAGAAGGATCAAACTTCGCCAAGTCACCACATTCATCCATCTGAATCAGAGGAAACAAGAGATGATCACGACAGCATTGCCCGATAATAAGATGAATATTGCAAATTGAAAATGGGTGAATATAAGAGAGAATGGATTTCATCCAAATTGAAAAATATTTTTTCTTCTAGAAAATCTCCTATCACAAAGGATGGATATTGTACAGACATTCCAGATACATATTTATTACTAGGAAAATTATCTAGGTACACTGTCAGTGGGAGTTTGTAGACTTCACAAGGGGAGTCAAAAGGATGAAATGTATCCTTGGCGTGTGTAAAAATAAATAAGTAGTTATATGCATAGTGGGCGTAGTAATATATATATATATATAGCCATTAGATTTAAATAATAAATGGCTTAGATTTAATTAAACTTTATAACACATAAATATTTCTTTTAACTCCGCTTGTGGACTTGAAAAACTTCACTGCCAGTATATGGTGTACCAAAATTGAGACATATTTACCATACTGTAACGTTAAGATACTTATGTAAAAAAAACCCACTAAGATGCTATGATGCAAAGCCAACCATAATAAAACCACAGCCCTTACCACTAACTGGGTTCGGCTACAAAGATCAAATTCCAAACATTGCACTCGACAAGATCAAATTTTACAAGTGATTAAGGTCCTCAGTGGCATAATTCTTAACTATAATTCTAGATTAAAACCAAATCTGAACATGCATTTCCACATATCCATCCTTCTGGGATTCTGTCAGAAGTATTACTTTTCAGACAGATAATGCAGTCTACAAGCTAGTTAATTACCTCGGGTCCAAAATCTGATTCTGAGTCATGAGTCTCATTATCAGAATTACCACATTCATTCTCATTCAGGATTCCACTCGAAATTCGACTAAAACGTGATGTGAAATAGCTTGTGTCATCCGCACTGTTAGGGTGTGGTACAAAGGCAGCCTGAAAGAAGTTAATGCTAACATGTTCATATTGGCTTTCCATCAAAGATGAATAATCATTTTCTACCATTCTTCTAATCACGCCCCCTCTTCTTCTCCAATAAAATTGAATACTCTCGTTCTTATATGTAGGCACTAAAACAGTAAAAAGTAAGAAAACATCTACAAAAGGCTACAAATTTTAATGGTTAAGCATATACAGTGATATCAATGGACAATGGTTATGAAACCCCAAAGAATAGCGATAAAAACCCTAACTTAAACTGATACTAGTGACTAATATAAAACCTTCAAATATAGAATATAATATGCATTGCTGTCAGTAAACCTTAACATATTGGATTAACATAAAACATAACTGTCAGACATTATGCTTGAGGCAGGAAAAGAATGGCATATGTGGATTCATACCTTTTGCAATGCAAGACTATCCCATTTAATTCCATTGAAAAAAGCATGTGCTTTAACCTGTAAGATGGCCCCGCTTAATTAAAAAGACCAATATTAAATTAACATGATACTCTTTCAAGTTTTAGTAGTGAACAGAAGGTATATTTTGCTTTTCCATGAAATAAAGAAGTTAGAAAGTGAAGTACAACCTCAGTTGCTCCAGTTGCTCCCAAGCGCCGAGTGGGATCATGTATAAGAAACCTGCAAGAAAATGAATTAATAATGATTAAGTTATTCTGAATGAACTTTTCCCTTAACATGAACAAGTCAATAAAATACAAGCAAAATCATATATCAAGACTCAACCAAAAAACCTGTTAATTCGATCTTGAGCCTCAAAGGACATCTCACTAGGGACAGACGGCCATGGAATTTTCCTGTTCAGAATGTTGTCAAAAATTATCTGCAAAGTCATGACAAAAATGAGAAAAGCATGGAATAAAGCTGTTCCTAGTCCCCAACATCTTTTGGACAGAGTACAGATATTAAGTAATCTGATGAGGAATGAGTTCGAGAGATGAAAAAGGGATTTGTTACCACTTTTCAGAGAACAAATTCAAAGAACATAATAATACTCAAAAGGTTCATGGTAATTGGAGATCATATATTATGGCAATTAATAATTGCAAGATGAAATAACATCCAAACAACTAAAGTTTAATCGAAAAGTTTCATCACTTATAAACATGTTTACAAGAGTTTATATTGATAAACTGAGTTACCACCTAGTTCAAAAAGAAGAATGGATGACAGAGAACTATTTGCAGTTATAATATAGAACCTTAGCTATGACTTCACTGTGAAAGGAAAAAAAAGGAAAGAAAGAAAGGTGGTTGTATGTGTTCCTTTTTCAAGACTAATCTAAATATCAGAATTTTGTGTCTTGGCAGTAAAAACATGTCACCAAAACTTGAGACGCTGCTCAAAGAACTAAAAGAGAATCCCCATCAACATAAAGATTCAATGAAGCAAGATTCTGCTTGACCACAAAATGGACATAATAATTGAACACGTAGATCAGAGTTACCTAATACTTCATTAAGGATGAGGATAGAGTGAAGGACGAGAATAATTGAAAAAGATAATACCACAGGGTGTCCAGCGGTGAAAGGTGGAATTCCTGTAATCAACTCAAACAAGATTATCCCCACTGACCACCAGTCCGCAGCATAACCTGCATGAATGTCATTGTAGTAATATCAAATGTCAATTCTATTAAAGACTTGGAATAAGCCTTAACATCAGCTTGAGCCCAAACCATGCTCAGTGCCAAGAAGAATTTCAGGGGCCAGGTAGTCAGGTGTCCCAACAGCTGAGTGTCGACTTCTATAATCCATTTGTTGCTTATGTAGATTACATGCATCTATTGAAGTAGTTCGATTTGTCTCAGGACAAGATAAGTCAATTGTGTTGTTTATGAGGCCAATTTTTTATAGTCCGAAGTCTGTAAGCTGGTAACATAAGCAATGATTAGCATGTTATCGATACGATAACATGAGATTAATGAATAAGTTAAACTAGAATTTAATGCTTCTAGACCCGCTACATAATATACTTGATACATTAAAAGAAGATTTATTTGTTCCAGACCTTAATGACCATCATGTGCAATCAGTATGTTATCTGGTTTCAAGTCACGATGCACAACCCCAAGGGAATGAAGATATTCTAAAGCAAGAACCTGAAATATGGATATACCTTAAGAAAGTTTAGACAATAATTAGATTGGTTTCCATAATACAGAATGAGTTGGTACAAACCAGCTCCGCAATATATGTACGAGCTACTTCTTCAAGGCATCCAACTTTTCTGAGTAAAGGGTATAGATCACCACCATTGAGATATTCCATAACCAAATAGAGGTTATCTCTACAGGTGAATGAACAAAAAAATCGAACCTGGAATTATGAACTCACTTCTTTTATTCAACTACCATCATTCTTAGACAATTAGAAAGTTTGAACTAGTTACAACATTAACCATCTTTGTCAAATGATAACAAGAGTAGATAGGTTCAAGACAAAAGGGAAATTGCATAATTCCAACAAGATAAACTTGAAACATGTGGGAATTGTAAATTGAGTAAAGAATGTAAGCGCTCATAGCATATGCTTGAATAGGCAATTACCACAAAAGGGTTTAGAACTGCTATTAGTATATTTCGTTCAGCTAATATACACTCAATATCAATTTTAAGTATCATATCCAATTTCTTGAGAACCTGCAACAGCAGAAAAATTGCATTGAGTTAAAAACAAAAACCAGATCACATTTCTTTTTCCCCAAAAATGCTCAAGATTACAGCTCATGTATCTAACACTTTAGAAGGAAATTAAAATCTTGTAACTTATAAATTGAACTTTGACAGAAAACAGAAGAGAAACTGAAAAACAGAAAGAAAAATAAAAACTAAAGTTATTTTCTAATCTGCCGTAATAGTACACATATGTCCCCTATATAGCAATTAGTAATTAACTCCTAATATACTTACTGTAAGATAAAGTCTATCCAGAGATAAAGATAATAAAATCTCCTAATCTTAAAAGACTCCTAAAACAGTAGGTCTCTTAATAAAACAACAAAGTAAACATGGTTAGGACTCTAATAAAATTCGACAAACTTATTGCTAATATGTTCTGGCAATGAAAGCATAATGTTGAGCTCTACTTCCAAACTAATTCAAGAGATGTGTTGGCTTGGAAAAGCTCCAAATTTATTCTTAGAAGTCAATTAAGCAATCACTTGATTCTGTCGACTTCATTTTTTAGAAACTGAAACAAGATTCTTCAGCATTTTCTGGCATATGAATGCATATTACAATAGACAATATAGATTCTTGTACAAAAGAGGACACTTCTAACAAAAGAGGACAATATTTATTAAAAAAATAAATAAAATTCATGATTTATATATTGAAATATTAATTTTGAGTTATATAAAATATATTTTTATTATAATTATATTTTTATATAGTTTAAATTGATATAATTCATATATAATTGTAAATATAATTTAAATATTATATTTTTAATTTGCAACATAATGTCTATAATAGACATTTTATTTTTTCAAACTCACTTCTAACAACAATCCCAAATAGTTAAATTTTAAATTGTACTTTTGAATAATACTTTTAAAAGTTTGTTTCTACGCCACTTTTAAAAGTCAAATTTCAAAAATAATGTCAAATTGACCCTTACATAAAAAAGCTCAATACTTTAGGTACCTATTTTGGTAAAAAAATATTTTAGGTGCCTATTTCAAAAATTTGTTTCTACATTACTTTTAAAAGTCATTTTTTCAAAAGTAATGTCAAGTTGGCCATTAGATGAAATTTTTTAATACTTTAAGTACTTATTTTGGTCAAGAAATATTTTAGGTGCCTATTTTGATAAAAAAAACTTTAAATATTTATTTTAATACAAAAATTAATATTTAGATGTAAAAAATAATACTTATTTATAATACAAGTCAAATAAAGTTAATTTTAAGAAGCTTTTAAGAAATGTATGAATCGAAATGTAAAGATGCATCAATTTCTGATTTTTTTCCCCCTCTTATGAGTTCTAGAAAACATCAAAGAAGAAACCATAAAAGGCAAACATTGTTGAATACGAAGAAATTGAATTCAAAATCCTTCATAATCTTTGTATTTTTTTCAAGTTTACGTAACTAACCATTCATAATGATTTTAATTTTTACTTTTATGTAATCTTTTGGATGTTCTGAAGCTATTGCGATTTGTAATTTAATTTTTTTACATAAATTTAAATATTTGTTTTGACAAAAAGATTCTCTAGACACTTAAATGAAAAAATAATACAGTATTTTTAGATATTTATTCGTAAAATGAGTCATTTAAAAATGAGAAAAAATAGTACGCCGGTTTAAAAATCTGATAATTGTAACTCTTATTCAAAAAAAAGAAAAAAATTACAGTTCCCTCGAGCCAACAAAAGCAACACGTTTGCTTAAAGAATGGTACCGCATTAACAAATTTACTTCGAGTATGTAAATAAGCAGTTGGGGAGTAGCACCAAGAACAGATATTTGTCAAACCATATTTGAAAACAGATTAGTGACAAAAACTTCTGCATTTATTCTCTGTTTATGTAAATTAAAATTACAACATGGTATGCTCAAATGGCTTCATAATATCTTATGGAAGGCCAAAGAACAATTTAAAAGCATTCCCCTTGAAGCAGAAGTTAATGGAAACTGGTTTTGACAGTTAACTGTTGTCATCCACAATGTGGCTGTTCACAAACAAACTTTCTCTTCGTTTAGGAAAGCCAGGTTCCAGGGTTGATCCCCTATACTTCAGCTCTTGAGCAGCTCTATAACTGGGATCAATAGAAGCAGCTCTAGAGGTTGGATCCCCTCTATAATTGGGTTCGATGGATGCAGGTCTAGAGGTTGGATCTGCTCTATAACTGGGTTCAATGGTCGCAGGCCTAGAGATTGGATTCGCTCTATAATTGGGTTCGATGGAAGCAGGTCGAGAGCTTGGATCCACTCTATAATTGGGTTCGATGGAAGCAGGTCTAGAGCTTGGATCCACTCTATAACTGGGTTCGATGGAAGTAGGTCGAGAGCTTGGATCCACAGAACTCGGCCTGAAAGAACTAGTTGCTCCGCCTTGATATCGAGAAGGGGAAGCATACCTTCGACTTCGAAGACCACTGCTTCTCAAGTCCGACATATCAGATCCTCTTGAAGAAGAATCTATAAAAGACCTGTCCGCGGTTTTGGATCCTAGTGGAGCCCCATCTGTAGCTGATGTAGAGCTAAAAGGTTCATTTGGTCCCAATGATGTGAACGCTTCCTTTTTCTTCGCAAAGAACTGCCATGCCCCAAATAGGAAAAGTATGAAAAGTAGCACGGGGCTGGTCCACAGCATCGAATTAGATTCGCCTTTCATAACCGGAAGGTTAGAGCGATACATTCCTATGTAATCACCTCCGAGGCCAAGAACAATGAGTTTTTCACGATCACTCGCTATTAAGGGCGTTGTGTGCCTTATCTCTTTATCTGTATCCACCGCCGGGTAAGTTAAAAACGATGACCTGATCTCATCCAAGCTGGCAGAGAAAAGAAAACGCGGCGCACCAGCCCTAACATAATGTGGTGTAGAAACATTATACACAAAAACCTTTTCGGGATCCACGATAAGTAAATATCCTTTAATAGCCAGGAAAGCAAGAGGCTCATTCATTTCCAACTTTTTCTTGGACCTAACCCTGCACTTGAAGTTCATACTATCGCCCAACAGCAAAACATGAATCAAATCACCATCAGATGTAAAACCATAAGCTTTAGATCGCTCCGCTGCATCAAAAACATAATTCCGAGCAAGAGAATGATTCAACCCTTCGCATTCTGATTCCTTAATTTTCATGCTCCGCAAATCCAATGAACCAGCACCAGTCTCCGTCAAGAACAAAGACCTTTGCTTCAAGAACACGAGCGGCCTACTTGTTGGCATGGCAGAACCATAAATTGTTCCATCTTCTCTAAAAACCCTGATTTTTCCACTAAGATCTGTAGACAAAATATATCTCATTCTCCCAACATGATGAACTTCCAATGTAGTTATCGGCAACCCATCTCCCCCGCCTTCGGAAGCAACAAATTTACCAACAGTCTCCACTACAGGTGAACTCAACTCTTCTCCATTTGATCCTCCGTAAACTCTATTTACCAAGACCATGCCGTTACGATGTCCGGTAACGACAACACTCTCATTCTTAAAAACAGACATGTATGAAACCATTGCCATAATTGGCGACTCGCTGCCGGTGTGAAACTCAGCAGTAACATCCCCATTCCTTAAAAACACAAAAACCCTTCCTTTTTCATCTCCAACAGCAACATACTTGCTAAGCCCCTCATAATCACGAAAGGGCAAAACGTTTATACATGTTGCATCAGAATCTAATTTCACAGCTGACATGAACTGAAACCTCTCGGACCAAAAGGGACTGTATTTGGTAACCGAGACAGCCCTCCCTCTTTCCCCGTCTCTAACTTCAATTTCTTGAACGTTTGCTTTAACACTACGCCTGTGATAAACTTTTGAAGACTCTGATAATTTTGATTCTAATCTAGAAACTATTTCACTAAGATTTCTAACTAGTTCTTCGAGTTTACGTAACAAAACCTGTTGAGGAACGAAATCATGCGGACTCTTAGGATCAGGTTCATGGAGATGAATCTGATCATTCCCGTCCTCGTTTGGATTGAGACGGAGCTGGAGTCTACAAGAACTATAGAAAGCGGTAGCGAAGTGAAAATGAAAAGAAGAAAGAAGAGAAAAAACCTGACTTTGATGGGGTTTGTCATTTTTGAAGGGGAAAAGCTTCAAGACTTGGGTGATTCAATGTTCTGCCATTACAAAATCAAACCTTGTCTGAATTAGAGATCGTAGTTTTAATGTGGGTTCGGAGAATTTCGGGTGGAATCTACGATAGATTCGATGAATCTGATGTCGGGAGGTTGGAGAGACGGTGAGCAGACGCACAAATAGTTGTAATAATTTTGACTATGATCTGTACGCTCCTAGTATAAGTTAGGGCAAGAAGTTCCGATTTCAAGCACACAAAAGGAAATTTTATATCTAAAGACACTGATTGAAACCCAAACTGTAGCAGGACACGTTGGTTTCAAGAAAACCCATCAGTTGTAAGTTTGACCCTGACCCTGACCCTATCCGAGTTACATGTGTATATCGTTTTAGGCTGGATTTCATTTTCAAACCTTTTGAGATTGGGTTTGGGCCCGTACCGAAAGCAGCGTTTGGTTTCTGTTCCTTCATTCGAGGTTTGGGCCCGTACCGAACCAAGTTTGGATACGTATTTCATTTGTGAGTTCCAAAACCAGTCCGAATGTCCGATGCAATCGTGTTGATCGATTTTTCCATTTGGATCAGCAGTTAATTGTCTGAAAATGAAATAATGTCTGCAGTCGGAGGGATGATAACATCAGATAAGAACAAAATCAATTTTACAATCTTCAAACAAATTGGAAATGAGAGATTTTGTACGCAAGCTAAACAT